TTCCCAAAAACCTAGTTAGATACTAAGTTTCTTTCACGTATTAGCCTAGGTTATGTCCATGAAATCGGAATACTGTAACAACTAAATCTTCCCTAAAAATAAGGGCCACTTGAAACACAAGTTCACAACAATGCCACATATCACGCCCATTGTGCTAATGCATTTTGTCCTAAAATGAAAAGCAGACAGTGATGAGTAAATGAAAGCTGAGATTTAAGCTGAAACTGTTCTATGAATGTCAAAGACTACCAAAACTAATTAAGATAATATCTTACGTTAGTGAAGCGGTTAGAAGTACTGCTTGAGTTGCTTCATTGGACTGTGCTATCAGTGCTGCAGTGAGTCTATTCTCTGTTCTCCTCGATGCCTGGTTGATTGTCATTCCATTATCTTCCAGTTTGCGTGGAACCTCTCAAATGCAGTCATCATGAGTGATTTTATCCTAGCCAGCGATGAGAACTTCGTCCATGTACGGTCTGTTCAGTGACAGTTCACACAAAAATTGTCCGTAAGTCTGAAAAGTGTGTGAAGTACTCCGAAGACTAAATGGCATTTGCACAAACTCATATGATCCTAAGAGCATGTTGATGACTCTTTTAGGTATGTCTTCCCAACCACCGTCATATTGTGATAGGCCCAAAATAAGCCTGTTTTAGTAGCGCCCCAAAGACTATTAGCAAATTACTGAATGCGGGGTGCAAGGCAACTATCTGGAACGGTTTGTTTATTAATGGCTCTGCAATTACAGCAAGGGACAATCTTCCCTATTTTTCTTGGACACCATGTGCAACAGTGAGGGCTATCGAGTGTTTGAGGGCTGAATAATCCCCAAACGAAGCATGTAGTTATATCCAGCTTTCACTAATTTTAGTTTGTTCGGAGCCAATCTTCTTGGCCTAGCAAACAATGGGGGCTATAAACCCTATATTATGGAAACTTTTCCTGTCAGTCTTAGAAGTTTGAGGTTTAGTTGACATTTTGAATTCCGCTGGTATTTTATGGAACCTTTTGGTTTGTGCTGGTGAAGTGGGGATTAGTTTCAACGAAACGTGCTTTATTTGGCTATTTAACTTGTTAACGCTATATTGGCATATTTTTGCCAGCTATTCCATTGGTTGTCTAACGCTGGCCTCAATTTCTGAGATTGTTGGGTCCTTGTTCATACTCATACATAAACCTTCCTCACGCTAAGAAAATACCCACGAGCAGTAGAAATCCATTAATTAATGCGTCTAAAGCTTATGTATTTACTCTCAACAATGACATTGCAGATCAAATGAGATAAACATATCACTGATTTCAAAATAACACATCAACGAACTATAATTCAAGGATTCTGCACACAAAAAGTTATGCATGAAACTTGACTTCAAGCTTTATCTTTTTCCCAGGCACTTATAATCCATCCACCAAAGACCTGGTTTTTTGTTAATGCGAAGACAATACTTCTGTATTTCCTGATGTGTTGCACTCACTGACAATCTAGCAGATTTTTCCAACTGTGCACAGAAATGATTGTATATAAGTGAAAAGGCTGTTTTATACCACCGGGATTAACATTTATGAAGCGTATATATGATCTCCAGAGAACATGTAAAGCATATCTTGCTACCGCCTATAAATTGTGATTGAATTATATGGTTCTATTTCTGTAACAATTCGATGATGCCTGTAAACTGGCGTCCCTCATGTACTTTACTATGAGAATAAATTTATTTTATATATTTTATTTATTTGCTCTTCTTTGAGCCTACTCCTCCATAGTATTCAGTCGGTGATTTGTTCTAATTGTCCAATAGGTGCTCGGAATCTTGCGTATCCAGTGCTTGTTGTACATAATCCAGGGGGGCTTACATCCAACCCTTCTGCATTAGAACACCCCCACCGTGTTGTCCCCTAAAAGATGCTTCAGGTAGCTCAAGAACTGTGATAGGGATCTATCTCCCATGTTCTCTACTTGGAGTGATCATTGTGCACACTGGTTTTCTGACATAGACAGGCATTTTATCACCACGCGCTTAAGCACTGTACATAGTTGCTCGTTTGGGAAGGGGCCCGCCTTTTCTTGTTAATTACATAAGGCAAGTGAGGGCAAATGCTGCTATACCTAATGGTTTCAGAATTAGCGCTATACCGTCAAAGTTGTGCTCTAGTTGAGAAAGTCGTAAATAGTAATTAAAGAAACCACCTCTGGAGAAATATTTTTCATATCAGTTTCCATGCCTGACAAGTGAGACATAGAGATGAACAAAAACAAGACCGAGGCATGGACGGGTGAAGACAAATGCGAAAAACAACCACGATGATCACTTGCGCCGCTAAACTGATTCAGTCTGTAAAACGACGTGGTGTTACTGCAGTACGATGGTGTGAATCAGGTTCAAGCGTACCATTTGAATTGGGCCCACCACATTATTGGTACTGTGGTATTAGAGTTGACCTTTCACGACCAGCAACTGCAATAACTTGATGACTATATATTATAGGGAGTATCTTGGTTTTGAAATCGTATAGTGGCGGGAGAGTTCGGCTCACTCCTAGTTTCAAAATGATCCCTTTCATGAGATTCGTGGACACATGAAAATACTGTGCTCCTTTGACAGTCTTATATCCTGGCCCTTAAGCACATGACAGGTCAGGTCGGCTGGGGATGTTTTCAAGAATTCATGTCAAAAATAACGTTCAACAGTTTACTGCAGGTATGACGTGAGCTCGTCTGGCAGTATATTAACTGACAATTCACTTACAGCAGATGCTCCATCTTCAGCGACAGAACGCTTTGAAGCGCCTGTGCTATTAGAGATAAATTTAGGTATGCGTTAACCAGCTTTGGATAACGCGCAGCTAACAGTTGATTCAGAGCCAAAAGTCAATCCTGGTTATCGAAAAACACTGTGCGATCATCCAAACAGAAACAAAAGTCTATTTTATATCATAGACTATGGGAGATGAGTCCAAACCCAACAGTGTGCAAAGAAAACTAAGCACAAGATGAGGATGGGACAGTAAACGAGTTAATAATTATTCTACACTCCATTAACTCACCATGTCGTACATTATCCATTCATTAGGACTTCAGTCTCCATCCTACACGGACACTTTGAGTTGTAAGGACATTTCTGTGATCGCAGGTATCTCACTTCTAAATCCCAGAGATGGATTAACTGATACTTCAGGGAGGACTGGAAGGTAGCTTACGCCGTGAGCAGGCCATAACAAAAACCCAACAAACTTCTTTTCCTCCACACACTGGCAATGCACATGATGCATAAACAAGATCAAACTGGTTCGGCAGTTTAAGTCTGGATCTCGGTTACTGGCAAGTGGAATTGCATCCTGAGAACAAACTACAAGTGATTTTTGTTGTATGTTCAGGACTGTTTGCGCGTGAGATAGTGCCCCTTGACCTGATGAAAGCACCAGCAATACACTGTAGTCTGACGCAAACTATCTTCAGTGGTTTTATAGTAGATCATGCCTGTTCAAACGGTATGTCAATCATGTAAATGCGTAATTTATGTGAAAATATATAATTATTATCACTGTCTGGTGTGTCCGGATGATATAAGACTGCCAGTGAGCATGTGAGCATGGTTATATTACTAGACCAACTAAAAACGTTGGGTATAACATGATCCTGCAAAGTGCTAATTCTTTAGGATTGACTACGGCTGCCATAAGTTAGAGAACCACTGAAAAACCTGCAGTCTTCCGTTAGGAAGCTAGATCGTGGTTTTGAAACCCCAGTGGGTGCGTGCTGCTGAAGAGCCCCAGACCGGAATGAAGCAGCTATCCACTAGTCTGAGGTTTGCCAGTGGTTCTCCAACTGATCTCAGCTCATGATCAAAACTGTAATAGGTCAAACCACTGCAAACCAACACTTGACAAATTAATCACTCACCTGTATGATAATTACACGAAATTAGGGCAAAGGAAACTTCAGCAAACTCCAGTTGCCGATTCTTTAGGAAGCGGGTACATGTTCAGAACACTAATTGACCGAGGGTAGATGAGATGCTCCGTAACATATATGTTCCTCAGGAGCAGAAGTGGTTTTCTAACAAAGCTGAGGATGGGGCCAAAGGATTTCATCATATTACAGTCGTGCACCCGGCAATAGTGAAAAAAGTTGCGGCACATCTAGAAAAGTTCATTAAACATCTTGGATGATTTCCACTCACACAGTGACATTTCATTCGGATAGACTAATAGATGGCTACAGGATTTCAAAGATAAAGTGTTGTGCTGCTATATTTTGATTAAACTAGCGTATACGTATATCCTAATACTTCTCGTCGTTTATAATTGTGTCCTAACGTTGTGCTTACTCGACACACACAACGTAAATCAGAAGACACTTGAGAAGGTGTAGGAATGTGTATTCTCGCCGTAATCAAAATTCAAAACTTGAGCGAGTACAATTGTATCAATTGTGAACACGCAAGATTTAGAGTAATAAACAAATCAAAGTACAATTACACAATGAAAGTATAGTACGATGGTGAGTAATAAAATGGGTCACTACAAAAGTAAGTAAAAATGCTGCATTCTAAGCATACACGTCAAATTTTGATCATTAATACTAACACACACTCTTACGCCGATGCCGTGTGGACCGATCCAATGTGATCTCATAGCAATTGGTTATGAGACCCATTTGTCAACTAAAACCTTTATGGGACTTGGCCTACTGAACAGAGATCGACGGAAAAACCTCCATCTGTATTATGATTCTCTGAACAATCTCAAATGTATATCCCTTAAGTTATGATTCTTTATAGCCTGAGCACTTGTGTCATAACACTGTTGGAATGCTACTGCCCATCTTTTTGATCTCACAAGTTGGACCACATTGTTGTACAACTATAATTTACATCAGACCGTGAAAAGAAATCACTTATCTGATATGTAGAACAGCATGTTTGTAAGATATCAGTCCCTGTTAAAAGAATCAAATATTTTTATTTTATCATAATATCATGGGAAGAAAATGTGGGCAGCTCAAGGTCATTTCACTGTCCGCTCAAGGACACTAATTTTGAACCGCGGGTACGCGTGTTCAGTTCCTAACTTGGTTTTTAATGGGGTACGTTCAGGCTTGAGTGTGTTTTATTCCTGACGGTGCTTCTTGTGATAACTGCCCACATAGGCGACTTCTGGCATAAGTGTTTAGTAGTTGCTGCGAGTTATAAAGATGTAGGATAAAATAGAGGTGCGTACATAATACTTGAAAGTATATAATATGGGAATAATAACGGAGTAATTCAAAAGACTTAAGCTTATATACTTTGCTTTTATTTCTCTGAAACTATGAATACGTGTTTCGCCCTCAAAAATGTCTTCCTGAAAGATCCCAATATCCCTAGAATCCAATGGTAGCTGAAAAAAAGCCCTGGACTTCCTGTAAATACGAAATCTGAACTGAGTTTCGCCTAGTATTTTACAAACAACTGCAGGCATATTGCCCAGCATATCACAGCTGTGTAGAGTAAATTGTTCTCATTTGAAGGCTGTAAGAAGTGGTATTTTGCTTAATAACACTTGCAGATGCATAGAGAATTTCTTTTTTTTTTGAGGACTAAATTTCCACTAAGCATCTTTCCCTTAGACATTTACATTTTTGGACTGCAGGGTTATTGGGATCTCTCGCTAGGTTTCGAAGGTTGACGGATGTTACACTCAAATACGAAGCAAGAGAAACTATCTAATGCTTCATAGTTTCTTACCTCCTCACATAAGTGAAGCAAACCGTGAACGTTGTATGCCATATTATCATCCCCAAATACACATAAAACAGGTTAAAAGCCTTTTTATGACTAGGGTCTTGACGAATTTAGTTATGTGACCCAAACCTGTTTTATGATAAGGGTTTAAAGACACTATTGAAACCGACTTTGTGACTCTATGCTGTGCTTTGCGATAGGTGATGTTAGACATCCTTGTTCAAGATTAATTGTATCAGATGATTTTATTTGTTCTTGCAGGCACTTTGGAGTGTTCTGTAGCCCTGAAATGAAGAGATCAATGGGTCCTCCTTATGTACGTGTGACCAAACATACATGTTGAGTGGTAAACACTGGGATGTGACACTAGTTTGGATGCTTTTAGGGTTTTCAGGACAACATAAATCTCGTTTTCTCTATCAAAATGAGTTTAGCTGCATAGTAAGTCTTATTAAGTGCCGCCTTGAGTCTTTGTTTAGTGATCAGACTTCGGCGATCATCATTGAATAGTAAGGATAATTGGATTGGCGGGGCCTTTTGTTTAACACTTCCATAGCGTTTGATGAATTTCAGGGATTAGTTGTCATCTAATGATATTTTAATGGTTTCGTATTTCTTCAATAGTATCCTCTGTACATTTATGTTGAATACGCGTGAACAAGCATTTAACTGACTCCTTTTTACACTGGAATGAATAAAATTTATGACAATTTAGATACTATTTTCTTGAGGTAGGCTTCCTGTAGATAGATAGTCTTATTGACCCATCCTGTCGGCGAGTTATGGGTGCATCTAAAAGTGGCAACCAGCCGCTATTTTCATCCACGTGTGTTAACGCTATTCTATTTTGTACTGTACCCAGTTAAGAACTGTGACATGTCAGTTTGTCACAAATGACTATTAGGTCATCCGCGTACCTCTTCTAAAAATGAACTTTCAGTTAAGTCCCCAGCTAGGTTCTCGTCATATATATATATATATATATATCAGCTAACAATGAACCTGAAGGACCGCCATAGCAACCCCACTGATCTGGCAGAAATCCTCACCCTCAAATGTAAATTTAACGTCATTAGTAGGTAAAAGCAGTAGCTCTCCCAAATAAAGTATGGAAGCTGACAATGAGAAGTGTAATCAAATAAAGTGTCAATTATCCGTAATTGGTACATTTGTAAATAAAGAATCAACATAATGGAGAAGCATGGTCTTATCTTTTATATTGATGTTATGAAGACTATTAAATCAAAGGTATCTTTCAAAACAAACTTCTATTAGGTCTGAATATTTCCACTTCTCAAGCATGTGGGTTAGAAATCTGCATACTGGCATTAAGGGACTATGAAGGGTGTTAGGTTTGTGTGTTTTCGGCAGATCATAAATGTGTGGTAATTGAGAATCTGTGACTTTTAGTGTGTTGAATTTCTCTTCACTAATCGCATTCATACGTAAGCGTATCACTAGATTGTTTATCACCTCACTTAGTAAAACCTTAACATATTCTGCAGAGGACTCTGGTAAATTTGTTTTAATTTTCAAGGATGCATAATACTATACTTTTGTATTCAGTCTTGTCCATTACGACTATACCACGACCTTTATCTGGTCATATAATAACGGTATCAATATTATGCTTTAGTTCTTATGGAGGCTTGAAGTGCTCAGATATTAGGATACCTTTCTACATTGTACGAGCATTGCAGAAATGATGAGCAATATCAAATAACAGCTTTAAAATGACCATGGTGATCATCAGGATTGGGAACAAGAGACTTCGATTGATTCTGTAGAATTTCAAACTGTGTCTGGATTTCCAGTCCTGAAAACTACTCTTGAGGAAAACCTAATTTTGCTTCAAGTAATACGGCTTGCTTCTGTAATATAGAAAGTGTTATGGAAGATTGATAATGCAAGGAGGGAGTCTCCTCTTCAGAAATTTATATTTAGTTCCTTTTGTGAATTTGGTTAAAACAATAGGAAGACGTAATTTAGCTGAAGCCTTACAGATTACACTATCAAGAAGCTGGATGATTTTGATAACGTACAGTGAAACATTATTTCTGAATGGAAAAGACTAGAATTTCATAAACCGTGCACTTTTAACCACGGAAATGTATGTGTGAAACCTTAGCAATTTTCTTCAGTGCTATGTAGGTTGTACTAAGCTTTTTCCTTGATGGTTCATTTGCCACATCATCCTTTCCTCTCTCAGCTTCCAGGTGTTCATAGAGAGCTATTCCTTGCCTTACCTGAGATGTCTATTATACTGGCTTCCTTCTACATCTCTTTCAGAGAGTTTCATCATTATAGCCACACCATCAGTGTGCTTGTTTGTGACTGGAGTAGATTATTAACTTCACAGTTAACAATTCGGAGAGTCCACTCCCATTTCATCTGCTCCCACAAGATTCCCAATACTTCTATACCATATCTCGTTTCTTTTGAAATATGAGCAGCCTTCCCAGCCTCAAACATCGTGCAGGAATTCCATGTTCCCACGCTTACTTTTACTTCCATCGAAAGAAGACTTATCGGTCGATTGGTATCTCTAGGGTTTTCACTTACAGATGTCATTCGTCCTCGAATCGGGGAGTTTTCCAGGTAAATTTACTTGTTTACTTTGAAGTTTAAGTAACACTGTGGTTGTTGTCTATGGAAGAAGGTGCTGGCCCCATGCCCTCTTTTCTGGACTTAGGAATGGCTTTTAAACTAGGCGAGATTGCCTAAAAATGTAGGCATGCGATTTTCCTCTACAAAAAAAATCGAGTGAATGTCAAATTTAATATCTTGTTCATACTTAAGTAGTTTATATTTATTAACATTCAACACGTTGCATTCAAATGTCCACTTTTCAAGAGACATTTAAAGTTCGTTTCATCTTCTGTTTAATTTCATACATATAGTTCCCTTGACAAATTTGAATATTGCAATAAGAATAACTTGAATGATTTTGCACGTGACTATGTAGTTGTCTGCATTTATGCGTGAATTACCCTTGAATTCCAGAACATTCTTCCGTGTTCTATGTATAATGTCTCTATTTTGGTTACGATTCACTATTTTGACTTCTCATATACTTTGCACATAGTCTCCATTTCCGACATATTATTCTACTCTTATGAAATGAACTGGTTATTCAGTTAAATTTATTCAGGTTGTATGCAGCTGTCGAAAATCTTATGAAAAAGTGAGTTTATCTTATCCTGCAAAAGGTGTTCTTATTGGATTATTTAAATTCTGTTTAATTTATCGTTACTTAGTTATTCTGAGTGCTTGTTTTATTTTAGAGATTCAAGTTTTGAGGAGGAATCTGCTGATGAATATGATGGTTATGATCCTGTGCATAGTCGACTGGTGGATGATAAGGTAACTTATCGGCCAAGATATGCTCCTTCTGAACCTGATGAAGTATGTTATGCATTTTCTAAACCATGCCTTATAGGATTCGAGGTCTGATGATCTTAATGACGGACCGGAGGATCGTGAGTCCTATTCCCACTATTTCCCACACTCGCCAGTGGGTTCTCCTGACGAGGGTCCTGTCGTTAAGTCTGAACAGAATGAGTCTCAGAAGAGTCCAGACAATGATAGGGAATATCATGTCGAACCTATTGTGGATGTCACTACTCCATGTTATGCTCCGAGTCAAGCTTTAAGCCGTACTCCTGAATCTAGTCCAGCACTAAGCTACACTGCAAGTGAGCATGCGTCTGACGTAGTTCCAACTAAAAAAGTTGAGTCTAATATTCCTGAGAGAATCTCAGAACTGGAGGAATCAGAGGACAACAATAGCAGTAGCTCCGAGTCAGATATAGAAGACTATAGCCAAGACGTGCAGCAGCATGAGTCTGATAAAAATAGAGATGATCCCGTCGAAAATTTGCCACAAACAGGATCTGGTTCTCCTGTCGAACCAGAACATTACAAAGAGTTTCACGATATTTTTGAAGATAATGATGAAGAACAAGACCAGGGTAAATTCAATGAAGACTTTGAAGGATTTGAAAGAGATGAACAACCAGAATCTCAAGTAGATGGCATTATAGCTGATATCTTTGGTGAAAGTGATGCAGAAGAAGAGTTTGAGGGTTTCGCTGAAAATGAACTGGACAAAGGTGTTGAAGAAGAGGTTGAAATTCAAACATCTGATCAGGTTTCACATAAGGGTCACAAACCTTCTTCTGCAGAAAATGACGACGATGAAGAATCTGGAGAGGATGACGAGTTTGTATCTGATTTTGATCGCATAATGGCAAAAAAGAAAGAAGAACTCCGACGAAGACGAAAACGCAATAGAGACATCGAATTTCTAAATGATAGTGATGATTTGATCGTGGAAATGATTTCGCGGATGAAAAATGCTGCTGATGAAGACAGACAGTTACTTTCAGCTGGTCAACCTGCAACTAAGAAACTGAGCATGTTTAAAGACGTTTCAGCTCTTCTTAGACGAGCAGACCTGAAATCTGCGCTTATTGAAAATGGAATGCTTTCTGCCATAACAGAATGGCTGTCTCCACTTCCTGGTCATACCCTGCCGAATCTCATCATTCGTGATTCCATGTTGACCAGTCTTAGTGAATTTCAGTCATTGTCACCAGAGGTTCTTCAAGAGTCCGGGATTGGAAAAGCATTAATGTACTTGTATAAACATCCAAGAGAAACACGAGAAAACAAGGATAAGGCTGGAAGGCTAATTAGTGAGTTTAATGGAAATCATTTTGTATTTGTATATATATATATATATATATATATATATTCACGGAGTTATCTAAACACTCGTGTCGTTAATATTCTAGCTAACGTATCAGGAAACTATCCACATTTTATGTGGTCAGATATCCTACTTTCACTAGGTCGCGTGTTCACGTGAATTCTTTTCCATCTGAATTTATAGTGATCCTTTTTCATCTTTATTTTAGCTTGATAGTGTTGCATAGGTGAAATTTAAGGGGTAAAAGTTTTACGGTAAGCTTTGGCTAATATTTGGAACATTTAACAAATGTTTGATGGAATTTATTCACTTCATATATAAATCATTAACTGTTTATATTGTACAGAAAATTCTAACAGCCAAAATAGTTAAAATAGAAATTACTCGAGTTACTGGAATTTTTTTTTCCTGTAATACACTACTGGCATGAAATAATTTATTGTGAACACAACTAAAAATAGATGTTTGATTTAGAAACAATGATATAGATGATTCAATGAAGAGGTAGGGTAGAGTTTAACATTCCGCGTATATATCTTCGCCAAATTGTTTTGCATTGTTCGTGCTCGAATAGTTGGTTTCATTTTTTCTATAGTTGATTTTGTTGATTTCCTTTTTTCTAGATGAATGGTTAAGGCCAATATTCAATTTAAAAAGTGATTATCGTACTTTAACTAAAGAAGAACGTAAACAATTGGATTATGAACATTTGCCTAAACGAAGAAATATCGAGTAAGTTTAGTGTATTATAAAATTGTATAACATAACAACTGGACTGCGTTATCCAGGTTACTTTATAGTGAGTTAGATAGTGCTTGTCACGAGTGTATTTTAGGATGTTTCCTTTCTGTAGAACGGTAATACAGTATAACACTAGTTATTTCATAACTGATCAAATGAACATTGGCTGTATGATCTTTTATTTCCGTAGTATCGATTACTCCTTGATTATCACGCATTGGTTTAAGCACCTTATTTTCAGCCAGTGGGTCTTGGGTCTGTATCCTGCTCTTCTTGCTTCATCCCGGACAACCGGGTGGTATCATCGACCCACATAAAATAAGTATGGCTCATAACCTGGAACATGAAAAACCTATCCAGGCAACTGAAGTGAGAGAGACGTTGTGTTAAGTTTCGTCGGTTGGGCTGGTCGACCGCTTTATTTTAAAGTTTGTTCTTAGATCTTAAATGGTTTGTTTTTCCCTAGTGTTTGTTTACAATGAAATATTTCATCGATTTTCTTTCCTCTTCGCATTCCTGCTTATTATTGTCCTCATTCCTTCTCTTTTGTATTTCTCGGTGTGCTTCATGGAGCGTGACAACTCAGACTGCTGAATTTCTGTGCAAAGTTCTGTGTTGAAACCAGTCAGTTATCCAGGCTCACTTCATTCTAATGAAACTAATTTTGTTAAGTATACCGATAATCTGAATGTTTCCATGCTGGCTACTTCTTAGACAGAGTGTTCCAAAATGAATAGCTATTTATCAGAAATTAGTCAGTGTTCATTGTCGAATGGTCTTGGGTTGAATCGCTCCAAATGTCAGACTGTTAATCTCTCTTCCACACACAAACGTGATTTACGTGAACTGGTTTGCTCCCATGATTCTCGTATCATAGGTGGCAGGGAAGTTAAAACTAGTCGAATGTTAAATACCTTGGATTATGTCTTTCCTCTGATCTTTTCTGGTCTTCACATATCATGTTAATTTCTTGAAAGATATTTCGTATAACCTTCTATGTGAGCAAGCTATGACAATCTGGTATCACTCACTCTCTAATTTTACCGTTTGTTAATTCTTGTATTCTACCTATTTTCTTTGTTACCCTCCCCCCTCAATCTTTCCAGGACTATTCAAGAAAGACTTTTTACTTTGCGAAGTTCACTAATAGCTTTCGGTAGGGTAAGTGGATTACCAACTTTGTAATACTGTTGTAGACAGACTCTTGAACTCCTGCAAAAAACATTATGAGTATTATCTTGTCAGACTGAGCATCCTCTCCATACACAACTCCCCCACTCCTTGTAATCTCATCATGTAGGACAGTAGGCAACTGTGGAAGACTAAGTGTAGAAACTCTGCAATACCTTATTTGTCACGCATTTTATGTGATGAAAAATGTGTTAGGTATGAAACTACTAACTTAATGCGAAACAGTAAGTGGACGACTGCTTTTATTATTTCTATTACTAATATATTGTTGTCAATATTTATACTTGATTTTAATCCTACATTCATATTCTTATTGACATTATTATCAATGTAAATGCCCTTTGAATCATTCCCCCTCCCCCTTATTATGTAATGTTAAGAGAAAATTAAATGCAATATTGTACTACACGCTGAAAATCCCACATTGTATCAAATGTGTACTGTTTGCAATGAAGCTATTATTGTTATCAGAAACTATATAGTCTAAAATAAGCTACTGTCGAATGTCAAAGCTCACAGAACGGAAATTTCCGTTCTCATCCTGAGTAGTATTCATATAAATCTATATAAATCAATCCGATCCAGTAGTATCAGCACAAGTAAACTTTGAGTATCTGCAAGTAAATAGTAATTAATTTGTTCATATTATTCATTTTACATTTGGAAGTGTCAATAACTCCTCTTAACCTCTTATTATTAGTAGGCTACAGTTCTGTCCCCTCCCCATAAATGTAGTTCTCTATTCTTAACCTGTGTTCATGATGTTTTCAGCCGTTCAGCATAACGCCTCACAATAAGACCGATAAATTCACTTTATTATATTAATAGTTTTGCATAGTTTAAAGGTATCTTCTGTTTATTTGTTTACAGCAATGAAGCCTACAATCATCGTGATATAAATCGTGAATTAGATGGTGAGGGAAAAGGGTAAGGCTAAATTTTGACAAGCTCTTCTTACTGCTTTTTTTCTTCAGTATATCGTTCGGTGTTTCATTTTATTGTAGTGTTCACCACTTCTGCATAAATCACTTTGAATCCTTCTGCTTTTGATTGCAGTCACTTTTCACCTTTTCTCTTGGTTATTTAAATGACTCTAAGTCGGTGAATTGTCTATATTATAAAGTTGCTCTAGGAGAGATTTCTCATCTGAATATGATCATGGTGTTATCGTATTTATTCTAGAAACTAACTCCTGACAAAAAATGTTGGATGTCTCCATAACACGTCTTACTGTTGGGACATCTGGATACAACTGTTGGAACGGATTTCCCCCCCCTCCCCTCATAATTCACTATCCTATTCTTTTTTAATTGTAAAATTAGCTACTTCGTTTCGTTTTTATTCAAATGATCTTAAAATAATCAATATCCTGTGCGAAACACCTCTCAGCTTATGCATATACTTTGGATTGTAGTCATAGGAATGCTTGACAAAGGTATCAAATGCAGCCTTGAGGCGATACAAACAAAAACAAAATCATTAGTTTCACTCAGCAAGCGTTTCAGACAGTAGATCATCACCATGCATCTGATTTCAACTGTAATCCACGCCCAAAGTGGCCTTCTGAAATTCCTTTTACCTTAATGTGGTATTTGTACCGTTAATACAAAAAAGAATTATCAGTATTTTTTCTCACATGGCATATTGTAGATATCGGCTTCTGTTTTCGTATGTATAATCCATTAATTGGGGAGCATCACTTTTCTTGTTTAATTTTGATTGCTGCTATTATGATTCTTTTGGCTTCCGAGTGGGACATAGGGCTCCACTTCTCTCTATTCTCTGCAGTCTTTCCCAGCTGGCTCTACGAGTGCCTATAAGCTTTGATTTCCTCCCGGAACGATCTCTGATAAGTCATATGACCCTGATTTAACTGTGAGGTGTTAAGTGTCGTTGTCTGTAAGTATGGTATGTGCTTTGCTCCGTCTAAGTGCAAAGTACTGTTACAAGATTGGCAGGAGCCTGTACGTGCACTCACTCTTGCGGGTGAACCACTTGAAGTTGTTGAAAAGTTTGTGTATCTGGGTAGTTGTGTGAGTGCTGGCGGAGGGATGACGGATGAGATTTCCAACCGTATAATGAAGACTAGGGTGGCATACACCAACTTGAGCCACCTCTGGCGCCGTTGCGACGTTAGCCTGGCTGTCAAAGGTCGGGTATACAGTGTTTCGGTGCGGGCTGTCTTGCTCTACGCCTGTGAAACCTGGCCTCTCCGAGCTGAGGATGTGAGGCGACTCTGCGTGTTCGATCATCGCTGTCTCTGCAGGATTGCTTGCGTTCGATGGCATCATCGCGTGAGTAATTCTGAGGTTCGGCGGTGTGTGTTTGAACACAGTGGAGATCACTATTCATTGAGTGTCGTCATCTGGAAACACCGGCTCCGGTGGCTTGGACATGTGCTGTGAATGTCATCCCAGAGGCTTCCGTACAAGTCTCTGTTCGCTAGCCCTGGGACGGGATGGAAAAGGCAGAGTGGTGGTCAGTCCATGACGTGGTGTCGTGGGATGAAGGATATTTGTGCTAGATTAGCATCGGTTGGTGCGTCACGACTCCCTGATTGGGGTCCGCGAGATAGCTCAAATCGATGACTCGAAACGTTATCAGATATGGCCAGGAATCGTAATCAATGGCGAACGTGTTGGAATTTCCTTCTTTCTTCCGTTCCTGATAATAGTTAACGAATACTGTTTGAACTTGTTAAACATGACTGTTTTCCTTCCAGATGAAGTTCTTTATCCGTTTTCTATTTACATTTTTACTTTTAATCTATGTTGTTTTATTATTATTGTGTAGTGCATCTTTCTTGGTGCCATATTATACCAAGTTTTTTCTGCGTTTAAATAAAAATAAATAAATAAGTTATACATATATATATATTGTTCGCTTTCATTTCAAAAACTTTTCCCATCAAATGAACTTCCTCTTTTACTTGTTTTGTGGTTTTAGAGTCTTAAGACCTGGAGATCCTGGGTGGATTAATAGGGCTCGGGTCCCTCAGCCATCAAACAAGGACTATATTGTTCGACCTAAATGGCGTGTGAAGGAAAATCCTAATGGAGACGATGATGACGACGAGGGAAATGATGATCGCACAGACGAATCTCAATCGCTTAATCGAAGACGCCGGAAACCGGGATCCTCTGGCTTTGGAGCTACCTCAAGAATCGAAGGCCATATACGTAATTTAACTAACAGTGCTCGCAGGAGTCATGCTAAAGCTGCTCGTGCTGTCCCAATGAGTATTGAAGGTCGTAACATGTCTCTGTAATCAAATCATTCCACTATGATTTTGTTTTGATCATCGAGTTCTTTCGTCTTCTTGTACAGTAATTTGCTTCTTCCATGCTGAAATATATAACCTCCAAAAGATTCGTGTTTATATTTCGTGCTTTCAGTATTATGAAATAGTTAATTTATTTCTCATCAAATATATATCCTCTTGTAAATTTGTATTTATTACTATTTATTTCTTTTTCGTTCCGAGTTGAACATAAGGCTTCAAGCTGTGTTATTTTGTACCGGGTAGGGTTACTAGATTCCACTTTCCCTCTAAAGCAGACTTAACATCAGCTGAGGTTTAGGAGTATGTCGACTGGGTCTGGAACCATGACCACATGCGTGGTTGACGAGCATTCTACTGCTGAACTACTGGCGCACTTTTGAATATTGGAAGGGATCTTTCGGTTATGAAATATGAACCCTATTTAGGTAAAGCTGTTTGACGTATCAAATACCATTACAACTTGGTATTTGACACACATTAGTTTTTTTATTATTTCATATGCTATTTTTATGTCTCCATTTCTGTTTAATTTTATCGTGGATGTACTAATGGAATTGCTGGTAACTGACTTCAGCGACTTAGGGATCGACTTGTTACAAGGAGACTGTCTCGTAAACTTGGAATATGAGGATGATATAGTCCTCCTGGGTGAAGACGCTGATAAAATGTAGTCTTCTGTACACTTTGAGCATCAATCTTCGAATGTTTAGCAGGCGATTTGCTCTTGTACAATGATGCTTCATGACTGAACTACATGGACTCCTAGCTTAAAAGATAGGGAGGAAATTGGTAGAGCCGGTTGACACCACTTCACTTATTTGAGGAGTTGCATCAGCCCTAATGGGTTGATTGCTGATGAGATCTCAGCATGGATACAAAAGGCCTGTGTGGCATTAGCCAGCATACGCCATCTCTTGCGTAGACGTGATTTCCGGCCCCTGTTCTACTACTCTGACCTGTGTATTCGACCTGACAGTCATTGCAGACAAGGTATTAGACAAGCTAAATTGTTTTGTTTTAAGGGCTCCACAGGATCCTTTAACCGACAAAGCTTGTTTCTAATTGAGGTTGTGGGTTTGAATGCCACCTTTGTTCCTGTCTTGTTAAGAATTCTGCGTAAGGTTTCCGAGGTTCCTTCTTGCATGGAATTACTACTGATGATTTAGATTCCTTATTATTGGTGTTGTCATTATCTTGCGCATGTTTGACATGCATGCTGTCATTAATATTACTATAATAATAATTATTATTATCACCATCACTACTATCATTATTTATTTTATTTTTACATCTCCCTACATACTTTCTGACTAACTTATCAGGGTGATTATTAAGTTTCAAAGCTTCTCTTATATGCCTCACTTCCTGTCTTAGATTTTCCTTGGTGCTACTTAGTTTTTGTGCTCTATTACTTAAACATTTCACCAATCGTATTTTCACTGACATAGGATGGGATGATCGGAAGTCCAAATAAACAATAATAAAATAAAATAACAAACAAACTGATATGGAATTACTTACTACCACAGTACCCAAGTTGTACGCATATATTAAGAGTTTTGAAACACTTTAACAAAAGGTATTAATATTTGATGAACTTTTAATGTAGTGACAATCAACAAAGTAACTGTCAGTTTACCAATTGAAATATTTTATGATTCCTATTGATCAAAATATTTATTGGTTATTTGGACACTAGTTACTGACTAGTGTCCAATCAAAAATATCTAATACAGTCCTACAGGGGGGCAATCGCAAGCCTGAATAGCTCAGTGATAACGTCTCTGACTGCAGCACTGGGTGACGCGGGTTCGAATCTCAGGAGGGACGTGGGTTCCTTTGAGGTTGCAGATACGCCTCGCTGACGAGTGCCAACTAGCACGAAACCTAGGTCCAAGGCTTCCTGCCGATTGCCTCCAACCATCTAATACCAACAACAGTTAATCTGTGTTATTTTGGGAAATATATCTTTGAAATTCACCAAAGCTTTTCTAAAGAATTGCTGGGCTTGAAATGGACTTTTACATTGGAGTAAGCAAGTGCTCTGAAGTTGTTCAGTCGTGTCCTTTTGATATTGAAGGGTTATCTTCGACGCCCAAAATTTCTCAATTTTCTTTCCCATCTTACCCTTTCTATTGATGTTATTTAAGAGCTTTTTCGGATAACCATTTCCAATCAAAATTTGTCTTATATTGGCGATCTTATCCTACATATCATCGTTATGTTATATTGTTTCTAGCTGTGTTTACGAGATTTAAAGCTACTGAGACTTTCATGCTTATTGCATAATCAGATTGGAAATTCAAATATTTGTTTGAATGTGTCGGTTCCCTATATATCGTGAACTTTAGTTTTCCACCGGTTTGTCATTTTATAAGACAATCCATAAAGTTTAGGGTTCCCTTATCCGATTCAATTTCATTAGTAAACTTGATATATTTTGAAATTGAGTTAATGTGTTCTTGAAAGTTTTCTTTTTCAGCCTTCTTAGTAATGCTGTTTCATGTACATATCTGTACCATATTTTAGAATAATAAATGATCCTTGTCAGTGCTTCTCTTTCTAGACTTTTCATATAAAGATTCGCTACAATTGAAGATGCTGGTGACCCCATTTCAAATCCATTTAATGTGACATTATAGTTTGTCTTTGCGTCGGTGGCACAGCGGTTAGGACGCTCGCCAACCATGCACATGGCCCGGAGTTCGATCCCCGGCTGACACACACCTTTACCTCGCTAAGCCAGAAATAGTGCTGGTAAAGAGAAAAGGTTGGGCGTGAGGCTAGCAACCCCATCCTGCAAAAATAAACACTGCTACAGAAACTTCAAGCCACTAACTTGAAGTCCTATGTTCCACTGGGAACGTGAAGTAAAAAAAATAGTTTGTCTTTAAATGTAAAATAGGTGGATTCTAAATAAAGTTTTAGGCATTTTATATCTTCTGTCGATAGTGAACATTTAGCAAATATTTCTTAATCGCTCTCTAGCTCATATTTCATAATATGAAGTGCATCACATAGAGGAATACTATTTAATAGAGAAATCCCATCAAAATTTGCCATAATTTCATCTTCCTCAATAGCACCACTATCCATCACTTTTCTTTTAAATTCCTCAGTATTTTTAATGTTACAGGGAATCTTGTATTGTATTTTCACAAACTATATGTTACTAAATTGGTAAAATCAATGATTCAACCCTTACTCCTACAATTCGTTAACTCTCGCATTCTGCCTATTATTCTCTGTTGTTCCCCCTTAGTTTTTCCCGGGCTACTGAAGAAAGACTATACCTTATTACGCAGGGTGTTTAAAGTTGTCAGCAGGGTAAGCAACGTGCCACTTAACCAGCTTGTTAATATTCTAGTTGACAGGCACATGGACTCATGTGAAAAATGGGCTAAATCCAATTTATCTAACTCACACCGCCCGCTTCATTCACAACTCTCCCCTTGCATCTCATCAGGTAAAACAAGAAGCCAATATAGAAAACTATATGCTCGCACCAGCAAGTACAAAAACTCAACCATAACCGACTTAGCTCGTGTTCTGTGTGATAAAGAAAGCATTAGGCGTGACACCTATAATTCATTAAATAGTCAGTAGTACAACTGGATCTCGTCTTTCCAACTCACATCATCAATAGGTACAACATTTCTTTCTTTCTTTTCCTTTTCTCTCTCTTTTTTTCTGTTATGTGCTGCTTTGTTTCTTTCTTCCGCTTACGCTAGTAAATATGATAGCACCTACTTTTCTAACACCTTCAAACACTGTTCAACTTTGGCTTTGCTACCGACATGCCAATATGTTGTTGTCATAATGAACTGAGATTTCCTTAGTCTATGTAGAATTTTATTTATTGATAATGTACTAACTGGATGCGATACTGCAGTAAAAATGCTGAGAATTCCATTCTGTTTCACAAGTACTGTTTTGGAATAAAGCAAATTATTATTATTATTGAAAGAACATCGGTTTTGTTGATTTTTGGTTTCCCATAAAATCTAGCGGTCGAGTTTGTTTTAGGAGCTATTGAGAACCAATCTGGATTCCCCAATTTTTGGTTTCAATTCTCTTAGTAGACTGCATATCTCTGCTCTTATTTTATTCATAGTACTAGACATTTTGTTGGTTGATACTGGTGCGTATGGACCTGATTCGATATGTTCCAAAGCTTTTTTGTCATAATCTTCTCTTTTGAGAACCACGGTAACATGGTGTTTGTAATGTTTAGTCATGACAATAAATTTGTCCTATCTTAAAGTTTGTAACGCATGATGTTTGTCTATCAACAAATCTGTAGTTAACGGCTTTCCATTTGACGGGGTACATCCATCCTTCTGACACAATTTACTAGCTTCCTTGTTAGGTAAAACGGTTGCCCAGGTTCAATTGCTTTCAGTGGTTTTGTAGTTATGTTAAAGTTTACTCCTTTGTCAAGTGATGGCAATTCGTGTAAATTGAGTCCTCTGTCGGACACTCTAGGGTTATTTTAAGTAATTTTATAAAATATAGTTTATGATGATAAATCATACTGTAAATTCGGTCCAGACAAAACAAATAATTCAACGAAATGTGATTTGTTGAAAATACGATAAAAACAGTAAAGAATAGACTCAAGATTGAGACTGCTACATAATAAATCTAACGGACTGTGAGAAGTGTCAGGAAGATGAACAGCCTTTTAGGATGGTAAGAAGATGGAACAAATAACAAAATATACTGAGTTAGGAAACAACCAATTACCAAGGCAATTCTTCATTGTTGTTTCTTTCTACACTAATTTGTTTACCACATAATCAGTTGGCAATTAAATCTGATTTGTAATCACCAAATTCCTGATCAATCATCTAAATTAATGTAATCAAATAGGTTTACAGTTACAGGATTTTCATCATGAGCTGATATTAGTTAGAGAACCATTGGAAAACCTGGGAGCACTGGACAGCTGTTTCGTCCTAGTTTGGGTCTCTTCATCAGTACGCACCCACCGGGATTCGAACCCAGGACCTTCTGGTTACAAGGCGAGCTCGTATACAGTTAGGTGATAGATTTTGTAAGTTAAGACTTGGAGCTTTTTCCTTTTGTGTGAGTAATTATCTGCTTTTTATCACAAACTTTTCAGTTAAAAAATATGTAAATAAACCGATTATCTATTCTCCT